TCTACTGACCATTCCATTGACCACACTGACATCTTCCTCTACTGATCACCTTTACTGACCACACTGACATCTACCTCCACTGACCATTACACTGATCACACTGAGATCTTCTTATACTGATCAGCTTCATTGACCACACTGACATATACCTCTACTGACCATTCCATTGACCACACTGACATCTTCCTCTACTGATCACCTTTACTGACCACACTGACATCTACCTCCACTGACCATTACACTGACCACACTGACATCCTTTTGGATTGACCACCGCTATTGACCACACTGACATCTACTTTTTCTGGCCTTCTCCATTAACCACATTTTTTTTTCATTTATATTTTTGTTCAGTTTATCAAAGCACATACACATGACAATATTTGGGAGACTATAACATACTTCACAATACTCTCATCCTAAACATTCCATACGCATTTCATGTTAACCATACTCATTTCATGTTAACCATAGACATTTCAGTTTAACCATGCTCATTTCATATACCCAGTTTTCTAAGTATTGGGTCTGTAGAGAATATTAATCTGACTTACTGATCGTGTGTACTTTCATGATCATAACACAGCATGCTAATTAATGACATATTTATTTCAAACATTTCATATATACTCATACACACCATAGATCTGTATAGAACATGCATATCAAATATTTCATACACCTGTAAAGAACAGTTATATGAAAAAAATCATACACATCATAAATCCATATAGAAACACTTATATTCAACATTTTATTCACACCATACAACTGTATGCAACATTCATATTAAACTTTTTATACACACCATGCATTTGTTCAGAAACATTCATACAACAGTATGGAACATGTATTTCAAATATTACATACATGCCATACATCTGTATAGAAACATTCATATCAAACATTTAATACACTCCATACATTTGTATAGAAACATTCTTATTAAACATTTCATATACAAATTAACCACATTTATATCTAATTCTACTGACCACTTCTACTGACCACATATACATCTACCTCTTCTGATCATTTCCACAGACCGCATTGATATATACCTCTACTGACCACTTCCATTGACGACACTGACATCTACCTCTACTGATCACCGCCACTGACTACATTGACATTATTTTCTATTGATCACCGCCACTGCCACACTGACATCTACTTCTTCTCACCATCTCCATTGACAACATTATTATCTACCTCTACTGACTATTCCCACTGACCACAATGATATGTACCTCTACTGATCATCGCTACTGACCACACTGATATTTACTTCGACTAACCACCTTCACTGACCACACTGACATATACCTCTACTGAAGATTCCATTGACCACACTGACATCTCCCTCTACTGATCTCATTTACTGACCACACTGACATCTACCTCCACTGACCATTCCACTGACCACACTGACATCGTTTTGGATTGATCACCGCCACTGACCACACTGACATCTACTTCTACTGACCATCTCCATTGACCACATTTATATCTACCTCTACTGACATCTTCCACTGACTACACTAATATGTACATCTCCTGACCATTTTCACTGACCACATTGATATATACCACTACATGCACCGCCACTGAGTACACTGATATTTACTTCTACTGACCAACTTCAGTCACCACACTGACATCTACCTATAATAACCTTCTCCATTGACCACACTGACATCTTCCTCTTCTGATCACCTTTACTGAGCACACTGACATCTACCTTTACTGACCATTCCACTGACCACACTGAGATCTTTTTATACTGATCGGCTTCACTGATCACACTGACATATACCTCTACTGACCATTCCATTGACCACACTGACATCTTCCTCTACTGATCCCATTTACTGACCACACTGACATCTACCTCCACTGACCATTGCACTGACCACACTGAGATCCTTTTGGATTGATCACCACCACTGACCACACTGACATCTACTTCTTCTCACCATCTCACCATACTCATTTCATTTTAACCAAACTCATTTCATATATCCAGTTTTCTAAGTATTGGGTCTGTAGAGGATACTAATCTGACTTACTGATCGTGTGTCCTTTCATGATCATAACACAGCATGCTAATTTATGACATATTTATTTCAACCATTTCATATATACTCATACACACCATAGATCTGTATAGAACATGCATATATCTACCTCTACTGATCACCCTGATATTTACTTCGACTAACCACCTTCACTGACCACACTGACATATACCTCTACTGAACATTCCATTGACCACACTGTCATCTTCCTCTACTGATCCCATTTACTGACCACACTGACATCTTCCTCTACTGATCACCTTTACTGACCACACTGACATCTTCCTCTTCTGATCACCTTTACTGTGCACACTGACATCTACCTTGACTGAGCATTCCACTGACCACACTGAGATCCTTTTGCATTGATCACCACCACTGACCACCCTGACATCTACCTCTACTGATCACCCTGATATTTACTTCGACTAACCACCTTCACTGACCACACTGTCCTCTACCTCTACTGACCATTCCATCGACCACACTGACATCTTCCTCTTCTGATCACCTTTACTGTGCACACTGACATCTACCTTTACTGACCATTTCACTGACCACACTGAGATCCTTTTGCATTGATCACCACCACTGACCACACTGACATATACTTCTACTGAACATTCCATTGACCACACTGTCATCTTCCTCTACTGATCCCATGCCATACATCTGTATAGAAACATTCATTTCAAACATTTCATATATACTCATACACTACTGACATCTTCCACTGACTACACTAATATGTACATCTCCTGACCCCACTTCCATTGACAACACTGACATCTACCTCTAATACCTTCTCCATTGACCACACTGACATCTTCCTCTACTGACCACTTATACTGACCACACTCACATTGACATCTACCTCTCCTGACCATTCCATTGATCACACTGACATCTTCTTCTACTCCTACACACCATACAACTGTATGTAACATTCATATTAAACATGTCATACACACCATGCATTTGTGCAGAAACATTCATACAACAGTATGGAACATCTATTTCAAATATTACATACATGCCATACATCTGTATAGAAACATTCATTTCAATCATTTCATATACTCCATACATTTGAATAGAACATTCTTATTAAACATTTCATATACCAATTAACCACATTTATATCTAACTCTACTGACCACTTCTACTGACCACACTGACATCTGCCTCCACTGACCATTGCACTGACCACACCGAGATCCTTTTGGATTGATCCCCACCCCTGACCACACTGACATCTACCTCCACTGATCACCGCCACTGACTACTCTGACATTATTTTCTATTGATCACCGCCTCTGCCACACTGACATCTACTTCTTCTGACCATCTCCATTGACAACATTAATATCTACTGTATAGAAACATTCATATCAAACATTTCATACCCACCATACAACTGTATGTAACATTCATATTCTACTGACATCTTCCACTGACTACACTAATATGTACATCTCCTGACCCCACTTCCATTGACAACACTGACATCTACCTCTACTGATCACCGCCACTGACTACTCTGACATTATTTTCTATTGATCACCGCCTCTGCCACACTGACATCTACTTCTACTGACCATCTCCATTGACCCCATTTATATCTACCTCTACTGACATCTTCCACTGACTACACTAATATGTACATCTCCTGACCATTTTCACTGACCACATTGATATATACCACTACATGCACCGCCACTGAGTACACTGATATTTACTTCTACTGTCCACCTGCACTCACCACATTGACATATTCCTCTACAAATTTCCTTCACTGACCACACTGACCTCCACCTCTACTGACCATTCCATCGACCACACTGACATCTTCCTCTTCTGATCACCTTTACTGTGCACACTGACATCTACCTTTACTGACCATTGCACTGACCACACTGAGATCCTTTTGGAGTGATCACCACCACTGACCACACTGACATATACTTCTACTGAACATTCCATTGACCACACTGACATCTTCCTCTTCTGATCACCTTTACTGTGCACACTGACATCTACCTTTACTGACCATTCCACTGACCACACTGACATCTTCCTCTTCTGATCACCTTTACTGTGCACACTGACATCTACCTTTACCGACCATTCCACTGACCACACTGACATCGTTTTGGATTGATCACCGCCACTGACCACACTGACATCTTCCTCTACTGATCCCATACCATACATCTGTATAGAAACATTCATATCAAACATTTCATACACACCATTATTTTCTATTGATCACCGCCACTGCCACACTGACATCTACTTCTTCTGAACATCTCCATTGACAACATTAATATCTACATCTACTGACTATTCCCACTGACCACAATGATATGTACCTCTACTGATCATCGCTACTGACCACACTGATATTTACTTCGACTGACTACCTTCACTGACCACACTGACATATACCTCTACTGAACATTCCATTGACCACACTGACATCTTCCTCTACTGATCACCACCACTGACTACACTGTGTTCAGTTTGTCAAAGCACATACACTTGACAATATTTGGGAGACTATAACATACTTCACAATCCTCTCATCCTAAACATTCCATACACATTTCAAGCTAACCATACTCATTTCATGTTAACCAAACTCATTTCATATACCCAGTTTTCTAAGTATTGGGTCTGTAGAGAATATTAATCTGTCTTACTGATCGTGTGTACTATCATGATCATAACACAGCATGCTAATTTATGACATATTTATTTCAAACATTTCATATATACTCATACACACCATAGATCTGTATAGAACATGCATATCAAATATTTCATACACCTGTAAAGAACAGTTATATAAACAAAAATCATACACATCATACATCCATATAGAAACACTTATATTAAACATTTTATTCACACAATACAACTGTATGCAACATTCATATTAAACATTTCATATACTCCATACATTTGAATAGAAACATAATTATTAAACATTTCATATACCAATTAACCACATTTATATCTACCTTTACTGTCATCTTCCACTGACTACACTAACATTATTTTCTATTGATCACCGCCACTGCCACCCTGACATCTACCTTTACTGACCATTCCTCTGACCACCCTGACATCGTTTTGGATTAATCACCGCCACTGACCACGCTGACATCTTCCTCCACTGACCATTCCACTGACCACACGGACATCTACCTGTACTGACCACCTTTGCCGACGTCATCTCCTGACCATTTCCACTGACCACATTGATATATCCCACTACATGCACCGCCACTGAGTAGCACACTGACATCTACTTATTCTGACCATCTCCATTGACAACATTAATATCTACCTCTAACGACCACTACCACTGACTACACTAACATTATTTTCTATTGATCACCGCCACTGACTACATTGACATTATTTTCTATGGATCCCCGCCACTGCCACACTGACATCTACCTGTACTACTATCATGATCATAACACAGCATGCTAATTTATGACATATTTATTTCAAACATTTCATATATACTCATACACACCATAGATCTGTATAGAACATGCATATCAAATATTTCATACACCTGTAAAGAACAGTTATATAAACAAAAATCATACACATCATACATCCATATAGAAACACTTATATTAAACATTTTATTCACACCATACAACTGTATGTAACCTTCATATTAAACATTTCATATACCAATTAACCACATTTATATCTACCTTTACTGTCATCTTCCACTGACTACACTGATATGTACCTCTACTGACTATTTCCAATGACCACAATGATACATTTCTGTATGTACCTCTACTGATCATCGCTACTGACCACACTGCTACTTACTTCGACTGACTCCCTTCACTGACCACACTGTCCTCTACCTCTACTGACCATTCCACTGACCACACGGACATCTACCTGTACTACTATCATGATCATAACACAGCATGCTAATTTATGACATATTTATTTCAAACATTTCATATACCAATTAACCACATTTATATCTACCTTTACTGTCATCTTCCACTGACTACACTGATATGTACCTCTACTGATCACCGCCACTGCCACACTGACATCTACTTCTTCTGACCATCTCCATTGACAACATTAATATCTACCTCTACCGACCACTACCACTGACTACACTGATATGTACCTCTACTGACTATTTCCAATGACCACAATGATACATTTCTGTATGTACCTCTACTGATCACCGCTACTGACCACACTGATATTTACTTCTACTGACCACCTTCACTCACCACATTGACATATTCCTCTACTAATTACCTTCACTGACCACACTGACCTCTACCTCTACTGACCATTCCATTGATCACACTGACATCTTCTTCTACTGATCACCTTCACTGACCACACTGACATATACCTCTACTGACCATTCCACTGACCACACTGACATCTTAATATAATGATTACCTTCACTGACCACACTGACCTCTACCTCTACTGACCATTCCATTGATCACACTGACATCTTCTTCTACTGATCACCTTCACTGACCACACTGACATCTACCTCTACTGACCATTCCACTGACCACACTGACATCTTAATATAATGATCACCTTCATTGACCACACAGACATCTTCCTCTACTGACCACTTTCATTGACCACACTGAAATCTACTTCTTCTGACCATCTCCATTGACCACATTACTATCTACCTCTACTGACCACTTCCACTGACTACACTGATATGTACCTCTACTGACTATTTCCATTGACCACATTGATATATACCACTACATGCACCGCCACTGAGTACACTGATATTTACTTCTACTGACCACCTTCACTCACCACACTGACATCTACCTCTACTAACCATCTCCATTGACCACAATGACGTCTTTATGTTCTGACCACTTCCACTGACCACACTGACATCTACCTCTAATACCTTCTCCATTGACCACACTGACGTCTTCATTTTCTGACCACTTCTACTGACCACACTGATATCTACCTCTACTGTCCACCTTCACTGACCAGACTGACATCTTCCTTTACTGACCACTTATACTGACCACACTGACATCTACTTCTACTGACCACCTTCACTGACCACACTGACATCTTCCTCTACTGACCACTTATACTGACCACATTGATATCTACCTCAACTTACTTTCTTCATTGACCACACTAACATCTTCTTCTTCTGACCACTTCCACTGACCACACTGACATCTACCTGTACTGACCACCTTTGCCGACGTATACCTTTATTTTACTGTTAAGACTGATAATTGGTCTGGGTACTAACAAGAACATAACTGATGCTGACTACATAGATGAAATAACATGCCGAATGCACATAGCGCTGCATCCTGTCCGGTCTCATTATACTGACAAGGGGTGAACCAGTTGTTGCCATTACCCTTAAAGCTGAACGTTCAACAGGGAATAGCAACTACCATTTTTAAAGACTTTTGTATGTCCCAGCCTTAGGGACAGAATCCTTTGCCTTCATCACCTAGGCGAACGCTCAATTTTATAGCCAGAAGTGAGGAATTGCTAAGCATGGCGCTAGGAAATAAAAGATAGTTAGAAGTAGAAAAAAGTTAAATGGAAATGAGGACTATATTATTTAAATATCCAGGTGGGCTATCCAACTTCATTATTCCTATTTTTATATAATATTACAAGGTGGATGCATTACAGTTATACTTTAAATACAAAGTCTGACTGCGTATAGATTAGCGAACATTAAACCGCGTCACTCCATGATCAGTGCGTCAATACGTGTATATGACGAAATGTAAATGAATACAAATGTTCCAGGGCTCCTCACGTTTCTTAATCTAAAATATTAAAGCTATGAAATGAAGAAAAATAGTGTTATTCACTGTGGATTTTCTAAATGTACTCATATATCGATGTAGAATCACTTGAGCTATATTATCCTAGCAACCACGGCTACCGTAGTTACTATCGTAACAACCTTCGACTGCTTTTTCTGTGTGTTGTAGCATTTGAACATTTAAATGAATGTAAATATTAGGATTGACCTTCTAACGCGCACTATAGAATGTGTTCTTTGCCAACTGCGTTCATACTACCTTATACGCCGTCAAAATAAAGGTCCATCCTTACGCATGCACCTTACTCATAATCTTGTTTTTCTACATATGTCTCCAACTAGTTTGCCACACCGCAGAAGTATGATACCCTTAAGCATTTGTAACAATATTCCAAAATTGCAAGAGAATTGGGCGCAAAAAGGTAACATTTGAAAACAATACATTTTATTTTCTGTTTTAGTGTATGCTATCAAAGTTGGATTCAAAGGGTACGTTCACGCCAAATATATATAGGGTAATACATATTAACTTCAAAAGACAACGTAAGATTTAGGTGGGTACTCGAATAAGTCTCAGATATAAAGATCGTAGAGGTTACGGAAGCAGTCTCCATGTATCTGACTGTGTATGTCCGGTAGATATTGCTTGCTATAAGCTGGTATAAATGTCACAAGTTGTCGGAATGTAAGGAACGTTTTAATTAAACTTTTGCAAAAAGAAGGAACTACCTACCGAAACATATTGTATAACAACGGCACGAAAATATTCCTTGAAATCGAAATATTATATAAAGAATTATTTCCGTCAGAAAATTTTCAATAATAAGTCGAGGTAAGATTGTTTTTCTTTGCTTTCTATATACGTCATGAGGCGTCTAAAATATATCAATACGCAGTGATGAGGTCACCTGTATTATGCAAAAATGAATGTCAATTTCGTCAATGGCTACAAGCATACAGAATGTAAACATACAAAAATTGCTTCGATCTTTAGATTCATAATAAAACCACGAGGAAAATTCGTTTTCTATTTTTTTCTTTTTACAAAGTACAAAACACAGAAGACGTCTTTTTATGTTTTAATTATACCTCTTTCGTTTTAGCAGAGCTGCTAAATGTTTGGCGATAAAGTGCTTTTTCATAAGGAGTTGTGTGATTTATGTTTTATTTGGAATTTTTGAATAGTCGAAAACTGAGGAAGACAACATTTAAACATGTTTCGATAGTTTTTAACTAGCTTCACGTGATAGGCTACCTATATTACCATTTGTCAAAATCGAACATTGTTCTACTTCGGGTTAAACAACAACAAACAACGCACCTCAGAATATAATTTATAAAATTCGCCTGTGAACTAATAAAGTTGCAATATATAGTCATTTTCTTGTTTTGTTTGTTCATACGCTAGTACATCAGAATTAAACCACCAAAAAAGGAATAGTATGCAATAGTGTAAAAGCAAGAATTACTCTTTATTGCTTCGGACAATCCAGAATCTTCGGCACTTTACGTAAGAAAACACTCATTTATTTTCGATATTGAAGTGTCTTTGTCGTCAGAGAAAACGAAATTCCTGCAAGAGCCTCACGTAGTCTCATTATTCAAGGTTGAAGGAAAAGCTTCGATGACGCTGATAAAATTGCGTTTATAGCTCTATGATCCGGTTTTAAATGTGGTTCATGCTATATACAAGGTTATGTTCGCCAAGGAAAACTGTCACCAATAGCTGTTATAATCCATGTTCGCCTTGCCTTTATTTCACCCTTCACATTAAACCAATACAGAGATGTTAAGCTGATAGCTAATGTTTGCTATATCAAGAGATTCACACTCAATATGGAAGTCAAGAAGGCAAAATTTTCCCGATATACAGTAATTGATATTAAATGTTGTCACTCTTATTTTTCAAAAAACAAGCAAATAAGCAAAATAAGGATCATAACATTTTATTCAAAAAATAAGATACTTTCTCACATGTATTAACGTAATATAAAAATGGAGAAAAATGTATATTCACCCATAAACAACAAATCGCATTCCGTGAGATCTTGCTCTGTAGTGCATCCATGGAGAAAAGTTTGAAGACGCGATTCGATCCTTAATGTTTTATCGTTCATTGTTTAAAACACATCTTCAGCTATTTAGGTTCATTATCCGTTTTTGCAGGGACAACAGCGTGATTATATGGTTACCAGTGTTGTTAATCTTCGAATATCACGGAAACCTTTCGTGAATTTCCGTCATAATATGAATTAGAATTAACGTCATTATTGGTCGACGATCACTTAAACTTGTTGACGGAAAGAACCGAACAGGTTTGGATTGAAAAACGTTCTCGTATAATGGTTCCTAAATTTATTGGCTTAAAACAATATATTTGGTTGGAAAATGTATCTAAGGACTGTATAAAGATAATTCAAATATATTTCCATTAGTATGGCACTCTTTCGTATGTACCATAGCAACGTTCTAAATTAGTGATTGTCCTGGTACAGCCAGGAGAATGAGAAGAGACAGAACGATGCAGATTGTAGATTATCAAATGCACTCCAACTATAATATAAACATATAAATTGGCGTTACATTATCTACCTCATTCGATAAGGATTAAAGGATTAACTTTCTTATTAGTTAAGGTTATCGGGTGATAACTACAATGGAACTCGGGTAAATTGAGTAATCGGCGAAGCCTACACACTAAGTAATTTTATCATTTTTATTTTAACTTCAATCATTACAAAACCCAATTCGTGTGCTGTGATCTAACTATCAATATTTAAGCAGGCTTATGACATTTCGGTCACGTACATTTTTTGAACCCGTCCTGTGATTACCATGATCTACCAGCCTTATCGAGTAAATGGAAATTACTATCGTATGTCTGGGTACTGTTTAAACTACATTATCAAAGTAAACGTATGTAAATGAAAACAAATACGTAGAAAAACACAAAATCCAGCCGTCCTGTCACTCGGTGCAGTAATCATCGGGCGTTGTAAACAACGTGACGTCATCGTAATGTATAAATTTCAACAATGTATTTTTTGCATGAATATACTTCAGTTGTACAAATCTAGTATCCCCGGTACTTCTGTTTACTTCCGAAATTATCAAAAGACACCCTCGGGTTGTTGACGTACACATATGTACACGGTGTATGTATCAATACGCGCACGAGAATGACTGTCGTTATCGAGTGATAATGATAATGTTCTCAACACAGGTTATTGAGTCAATTTGAAATGAAACTTTAAATATAGCACTGTAACTCAAAACTTCATAAACTACATACACGACTTCACATTCTTCAAAACAATTGATTGTTTTAATCCTAATACTTTGTGATGAACGATTTGAGCAATTTGCGGCTGAATTTCATAATGATGGTGACCATACATATAACAGATTATTCAGTGTTCGATTTTTAATTGTAAATTATATCAAAAGTGTTGAAAGCGATAAACCTGCACGAATAAGAATTTAGTACAACAGTACTACTTAGGACAGATCCAGATTGATTAAAATTATCGAAGGTCTGTTAAGGCTAATGCCATGTAACATTTTTACGACTTATCCTGGTATACTTGCTTAACAGTTTTTTCTGATAGAATACAGGATTTACATTAGTGTTCCTATACTTGTCTTTATTGTGAATGTTGCAACCTTTCTATCCTCTCCTTGGCATTGTTTTGAAACTGGCTAGGTGCCTGGATTACCAGGGAGTCCCTGTATTACCACATCGCCCTGCGTGTGTCACCAACCATTTCATAGCATATCCCCAAGATATTGTGTACTATCCAGCGGTCACCAACTCCTTGTTTCTCCTCATATTTCACGACTCGAAGGTATAGCAATGCTGCGTCACGCCTTTTGGTATCGTCAAACTCGTGATAACATAAGAATGTTAGGAACACAGCATATGGAAGTTGAGGGCAGGAAAATGCATCTTCCGAATTAAAGTTGTTCAACTCTGTATGTAACTGGGATGGAAATAACTGTAAAAAAGTCGGTGGAAATTCAACTTTGGATACGCATACCTCCTTCTGTCACATAACATGTCTGATACTGCTGGTCGACAGTGTAGCCATTCCCATGCTCCATTCCTCACGCTTTGCAATCGGATCCCGAAAGATGGTTGTATGATTATTCCAATTGAAAGACATTCCCATTTCATTTCATAGAGACCAATTAGAATGCGAAGGAGTTTTTGTTGTTTTTCACCGTGAATTTTGCCACAGAACATATTGTTGCTGTAGATAAAATAATTGGAACAATATCCTGCATTCATCCAATAGATCAAAATCAGGTGTACTTTACACAGCATAAACTATTAATGTTTTTATGCTACAAGATGATAGGATATCTTCATCCCTAAATATCTGCTTTTAACTGTCTGATATTTGCTTGGGAAAGTACTTGATTAGTCCATATATTAGAAATTGTGTATAGGCAAGAGCGACAATAACTTTCTTTTCTGCACTTGTAAAAGAAATCCGCCATTGTAGGAATGTATCAGCTGATGTTCTGTCTCCTACAGGGACCAGATGACAACCGCCCTGTACTATCTCATCTCTCAACGATTTATCTGGCCTACTATGCTGGCGAGGCCGACTCACCCACTCGTTAGTTTCTCGTGGCCATCTATTACACGAAAGTTACAAAACAAGATCAACATTTAACGAAATGTTTATTATGTACAGTTTTCAGATTAACAGCCGGGCCATATGTTACCACAGTTGATTTTAATGTTGACCTATAACCAGCTTCATCAGCGAGATTCTGTGTACTCACTTTTTACTTGATATGAAAAGTACATCTCCGATAGGAACAATATATTCCTTGATTAGTCTATGGCATGTAGGTTTCATATTCATCAGTTCAAGGGTCACATACCCAGGTCGGCTGTCAGCATCTCTCATCATGAAAACTGTTTTATCCTTGGTGTCCTGTGGAATACATGAGTCCTGAAATGGACACAAAACTATCGCAATATTGTCAATTATCATTATGCACGCTTCCCGCTTAAGATCTTTTATGTGTAGAGGTTTTACCATTTTCTATATGCTCATACAGTAGAGTCAGCCTCGTATTCGTTTCCAATATATCCGGGCTCCATATAAACTTGTCCAGCATGTGGTGCAGACTCCAGGAATTTTCGTACTGCTCATTCTGATCCGCTAATAATGCATAGATCCTGCAAATATATTATTGGAATATTGTTTCTCATGTATCGGCCTATACAGTTCATATCTTCGCTGACCAAACGTGCCATGGAAGTGGGTAAATGTACATTTCTTGTAAAAGTGAATATATTCGAGTATATTTTATAATATGTAGGACAAGGAAAGTTATATTTTTTATAATATCGAAGTGGGATTTCCTACCATCATTTGCTACTGTAATACTGTACATTACAAAAGGGCATTAAACAGGGTATGCCCAGTCTAAGCGTATGTGTATGACGTAGATCTATTTCTATCACGGTATATAATGTATTTGGTAGTAGTGTAGGTCGCAATGATATGCAATGAACCGTTGTAAAGTGATTTTATACTCATTACAATGTAGTGCCCTGTACCTTTGCTATACCTCTTATACATGTAGCTGTTAGTAGGACCACCTTATGTCATTTCTGTCAATTAAGTGTATTGATAATCAGAACATCAGTTTGTAATGTTAAGTAACACTTCATCTACTTTCACCATGCATGCTGTTTTATTATCAGCTTAAGGCTGAGTGCTTTGTTCTAAACTTGGGTTCCAGGGCAACCTCAAGTTATGATCCTCTTTATTGATACCGAAGTTTCGGGTGTACGAATCTCACCTAATGCTTGTCATAGTTTGATGCTGAAAACCTTAACTTGAGCATTTGGATATATTTTTTTGCTATCTAAATTGAAATACTCGAAGAACAAATAATACAAAAAATATGATGTATATTAATTTGTTTAAGGAGCGAAGTAACGGTAAAAGGTGATGAAGGAGGGATTAATCTTTAAATGTTGGCTTAAAGAATAGAACTTCTTAAGCAACACGCCATGGACCATGGTCATGGCAAAATGTGGCGAATGTTGATCTTCTAAATTTGAATGGTAGCCCTTATTGGACAGAGGTGTACTGACAAAAATGAGAAATCGTGTTGATCATTCTCCTGTGCAAAGTCACCACATCCAGTAAATGAAAAGTTAGGCCCTCCTTGTACTGAGTGCCGCGCCAAATAGGGAAAGAAAGGCGGATATTTAATATCTCTATTTATTTTGACGTCATAATGCATATGTATTTGCATATATAGCATTCGTAGGCTAAACAAACTGTGTACTCCATCCTGTCATGGTCAGGAAGTTTACTTCCTGTATCCTGTATCCTGTATCTCCACCAGTATCTCTATTTCAACCGGCAATACATTCGTCACTGCTTCCATTCTACCTAAAATAGTTATTGGTTCTAAGCAAACATCGTTGTTGCCCAAATTAACCACTGAAACAATATGCTTTGGAGACTGTGGACTTACTAAACATTTAGCTAACAAAATTCCTGTATTCCTACTTTGTTTTGTGGGTTCTACAGAAATGTATACTCTTGCTGTAAACAAGATATGATTAAAGACAAAATAAGAAGAATATGTCAATAAATACAAACACCTTCCATTTGACAATAAACAATAATCATAATGGAAAAACACTTCACTGAGAAAAATATTAAACCATCCACGCTAGCATGAAAAAAATTGTTCGCCATTTTGTCATTTTTTTTGTTTTTGTTTTGATTTAAGGCAAAGGGGTTATCAGCGCTGTTGACAATTATCTAGTTTTATTATTTTGTCATATTATGCCCAACAAGTGATTGGCCAGGAGTGCATCACGTGTCCACCGACAAAAACCGATATTGACTTAGAGCACGTGATTTTTGTTGAAGGACTGGGTGTTTCTAAAAATAAAATTATGACGTGTCATCAAACAACTCACCGTCCCGCTTTCGAAGCTATTTTGTTGTGGGCTTTTTTACATTACTTACATCACTGTTTTGAAAATAATAAAACAATTGTAGCCTTTAACTTCGGTCGATACCTGGATGTATGGACCGTATAAAAGCTATATTGACCTGGGGCTGCGTCCTCGGTCAATATATCTTTTCTCGGGTTGATAAATCCAGGTATCGACCTCAGCCAAAGGCTATAATTGAATTATATCCTTCGATTTTATATTCATATATATCAATGTGTGCTCTCTTTAAATAACAAGAAATGTATGGACCACGTCAATCGTATGAATACCACTCAGCTTGAGATCGGTAACTGCAGAAATAAAGGGTATATGCAGCATTGTGCGATCAGAAACTGATAGCCTTATTGTGAATGCGATACAAAATAGAACTTAATCGTGTCCTGCATACTGTTTGAGAATGCAGTATTATAACTAAATAGTTTGTCCACCGCTCTCATCGAGATAACAAGCAGAAGGGAAACAATTCTCTCTGATGTTACTTGCACCAAGGTTAGTACCTCTAAAACCAGCGTAATACTGAAGAGGTTAATTACTTAAAAACGAATATGAATATATATTTCTGTTTCATGTCTTAATAACAGCTATGGTCATTTAAGGACGCGCCAGGTTTTGGTGGTGGAGGAAAACCGTAGTCTCCGGAGGAAAACTACCGACCTACGGCCAGTACCTGGAAACTTCCCCACGTAGGACTCGGCACAGAGCCCAAGGGAGGGCTAATAGTAGCTGAGTGGCAGACGCATTTACTACTTGACCACCGTGGCCCTGGAAAATCTTATAATCCTTTCTTTCATTACATAAAAGAGGTAGATTCTCCATGGTAAGTAATTTATTCAATATTGGAAGTAAATCCGTCATATTTTTAATCTAATATCGACATTTTTGTTCAAGCAAATGTTTGTTGTGGAGGCGTAAAAGTCTTGTTGTTTGTCAATAAAGAAGGAGGGCGAAGAATGAGAGAACATGCTAGCATGGCTTTGTGGTGGAATCAAGTTATGCCTCGCATCGTCCCATCGACACCGACAAAAATTCACACATTCAATCTTTAAACCGATTCTCAATTTAAATAAAACAAATATTACCAAAGCATCAACAAAAAAAATGTCAAGTTTAAACATGTTTATTGTTTATATAAACTATATGTATATTCTCAATACTCTTCTTTACTTTTTCTAAAGAGAACATTTTGAATGAAATTATTATACTTCTTAATCATTTCAGGGTGGTAAAACTTGTTTGCCTCTGTCGACCGTGCAAATCAACAGTTAGTTGACATACTACCGGCAGTAAAGCGTTTAATAACATGCTTGATTCCGTTCCAATAACAAGAGTAGAGTATTAGATCATAATATAAGTCATTGAATGCCAAATTGAAAACTCCCTGACGGTATATGCACGTCACACTGAAATCGACATCTAAATGTATATAGCAGACACATTATAGCACATTTAACTGAAACCGACGTATATTCACCAAATTTACATCGAGTACAATCCGATCGTCGATATCAATCTACACACTGTTCATTTGCACATGAAATGAAGCAAGGTTATCCAAATGATCAATATTTATTTCCGAAATTATCAATATCGATCATAATAGCTTTCCCTTTTATTATACAAGGTACGGACGGACTTATCCAAGCGTGATTCTGTAAACGATAGTAGAAGTCAATAATTAACGGAAAAGGATAGACCACAGGACTGTATGTTTAAACTTTACACAAACTGCCAAGAAGTTGAAGATAATTATCTGATGCTTATTTTTTATTGATTTTTTCTATGAAATACTATCAGGTAGAGTCAGCCTTAAAATACTCATTGTTTTGGTTCAATTGTTGTATTTTAATAAAGAAGCATCATGCACATGCGAAATAATATTTACCTTCACATTATTTATAGACACAGTATAAAAAATATTACTGAAGTATACATTATCTGTTGAAGCCAAACGTTGTTGATTTGTAATGTCAAACATAGTTTTATAGGCACACGCTCCCTTTTGTTTCGACACTAACACATTATTGTTTGTTGTTTTTCTTTCAATGATGATTCAATATTGGACGAAATGGCCATATGATGCATGGTGTGATGAACCTAATATATGTTTAGTCATGTGACCTACTTACCATTGACTCTGTTATATTTACAGGGAGGTTGTTCTGATAGAGTCAACGTTTTATAAAAAGACTCCTATGCTAGTCTTGATTGGTATTTTTGCAACCGTTCTATCCTCTTCCTGGCAGGGTTTAGATATTTTTCAAATTCCCGAATGTCAAGAGAGTCATTGTATTCCCTGATAGCCCTGCGTGTGTCCCCAACCATTTCATAACATATCCCCAAGAGAGTGTGTACTATCCAGTGGTGACCAACTCCCTGTTCCTTATCATACTTCACGGCTCGAAGGTGAATCAACGCTGCGTCACGTTTTCTAATGTCGCCAAGCTCGTGATAACATAAGAATTTCAGGAACACAGCATACGGAAGTGGAGGGATAGAAAGTAGTTTTTGCGAATGGATGTTTGTCAACTCTGGGTGTAACTGGGATGGACAGAAATGTGAAATAGTCGGTGGAAAATTTACATTTGATACGCATACCTCCTTGTATTTGTGTAGAAGGGAGTATCCAAGCCCACATATGTGATGTTCATACCACGTCAAATATTTATCATCAGCATCATAGAAGCCACCGATATAAATTTTGAATGACGATATCATTTGTCCACACATTTCAAGCGTTTTTATGTAGTTTCCAGACTGGTAGTGATAAGTTGCCAGCGTCAGTAGACCCGAACTTGTACACACCGAGGAAAGTGGTGTCATAAGGATTTTAGATTTTCTAATAAATTTATACTTATCTTTATTTCTTTTTGCAGGGATGTGCTTTTCAAATATTTCCATCCCTGTACACGACAGTGCACGTACTGTTGTGATGTAAGCTATGAACTCATCACTGCCAAAGTTTGATACCGATAAGAGGGATAATGACACTGCTAGTACATCAGGCAGTATATCCGTTACAAAAGCTGCAGAGAATATTTCCATGTCGCATTTCAGTTCTGATTCTGTTGGTGGACGTAGTACTAATTGCCATGCCCCATTCCTCACACTTTGCAAAAGGATCCCGAAAGATGGTTCTATGACTGTTCCAACTGAAAGACAGTCCCATTTCATATCATCGAGATCAATTAAGAGACGAAGAAGTTTTTGCGGGTTTTCACCCTGAACTTTCCCACGGAACATATTGTTAATATTGATGAAATGATTTGGGCAATATCCTGCATTCACCCAGGCAATCAAAACCTTTAAGCAAAGCATAAAACAGAAAAATGTATTTTTCTCTTGCCATACTGAACCGGGTGTGCTTTCTACAACATGAAATATAATTGTTTTTATGATATAGGATGATAGGATATTTTCATCCCCAAATATCTGCTTCAACCTGTCTGATATTTGCTTAAGGAAGTACTTGAGAAGTCCATATATTAGAAACTGTGTATGAGTAAGAGAATTAATAAGTTTCCTTTCCGCAGTTGTAAATGATAGCCGCCATTGAAGAAATGTGGCATCAGACATCTTGTCACCTACAGGGACTAGATGGCAACCGCCACTTACTATCTGATCTCTCAAAGCTTTATCTGGCCATCCATGCTGGCGAGGACGACTCACCCACTCATAAGCTTCTTGTGGCCATCTAGTACACGGAAAGGAATGTACAATGTCACCATCAACTATAATGTCACAATGTTCAGTCTTCAGACAAGCAGCTGGGCCATGTGTTTCCACAATTGAATCTAATCTATCACACAAAGCATCAGCACACTCCCGTCTAAACATTTCACTTGATATGTAAAATACATCTCGAACTGGAACAACAGATCGCTTGATCAGTTCAATGCAAGTCGGCACCAGATTAACTAGTTCAAGGGTCACGTAACCAGGTCGGCAGTCAGCATTTCTCATCATGAAAACTGTTTTATCTTTGCTGTCCTGTGGAAAACTGGAATCCTGGAAAGGACATAAAACTATCACATTATTTCTAATAAGCATTCCATCAAAGTCTGAGCCTTCCATTTCAATTTCCTCGGCGCAACTTCCCGTGTAAAACGTGTCAAGTGACGTCAGATTTTGTTTCCCACCATTCTTTATACGCTCGATTATAATTACCCTCCTCCTCCTTGTTTCCACTAACTCTGGGCTCCCTATAAACCTGTCAAGGATATGATGCAGAATCCAAGACTTTTCGTACTGCTCACTATGATCCGCCATATTGTTGATAAGTCACAGATTCTGTAAATATATAATGGGAGTATTGTTCTGTGTGGATCTTCACAATATCAAATAATATGAATACCAAGCACGAATGAAATTTAAGCAATTAACTCTCGAAATATAGCAAACAAGCATTATATCAAATTTCACTGTTGTCGCCACATGAACTTTCACGATCGGGTGTAGGATTCACTGTCAAATTGACGATTAGGACGGTATATTTCTCAAAACAAAAATGTACTTACTTTCCGGAAAATCAAGAGACGTATATTACAATATACAATGATAGTAGAATGGCAGCATCAAATTGAATTGAAGAATCATAATTAACCAGATTACGCTGATGACGTCAAGCGACATTAAATCATTATTTTGATATTTGATGCCGCAAGACATTGTCTTTTTTTTCGTTCTTTGAGGTCGCTTATTAATAAGAGTATGACAAAAATATAACCTGAGCGCTGCTGCTACGATTACTTGACTACTAAAATAGTTCTTAAAGACATAATTAAGAACGTGATATGTTCATGTTATGCCCATTTGATTTCTTACACATCAATAGGCTACGCCACATACCTTTGATAATTGAATTTAATTCCCATCACATATAATCAATAACAATCCGTGTGTATCACTGAATGTTTATATTCCATATAGTGTACTTACCATTAGATGGCATGACTGGTATAACCATACATTTCATATCAATTTATCTATGACTAGAAATAATGAGTAAAATGCCTGCTCTCTGCTATAACAATATAATTTACTTCCTACATGTCTATAAGGTTCATTGCTTGATATGGTACACGTAGGTATTGGGTCATGGGTACCTTTTACTTCACTAAATACTCGAATGTCGAAAAGGTATACTTACAGATGTTACTGTATAAAAGTAAGCAACCATTGATGTGCCATAGGTGTACCCGTGAACTCGTATCAGTGTCGATAGGTTCAGGGGTGCACTAAGGGTTGACCTGTGTCTCTTTATAATAAAACTGATACTATATAAAAGATGTATTTTGTACATAAACTGCCTGATATCTGCTTAAAGTACATAAAGTATACAATGCGTATGTATGTATGTATGTATGTATGTATGTATGTATGTATGTATGTATGTATGTATGTATGTATGTATGTATGTTTATTACAGATGCGTTTATGCGGTCAGGTATCCTTACAGTCAAATACATGCCGCAGGGTACTATCATATTCACATGGTTTGTAAATAACTTTTTAATGCCACGTTTAAATTTGGGCATGCATTGCTGTCTATTGAACATGAAGAACGATAGTATATTATCTATACCTATTATAAAGTGTTCCTAATAACATTATTGCACTCTTAATTTTCGGTGTCTTATTGTCATATGCGCTAGTTAATAAAATGTATCATAATAATTCATTACAGAAAATGTATAATTTAATGATCGGTAGCTTCACACTTAATTCGTAATATTAATAATCTGTACCATCCGATCGAATGCGTAAATTGGAAGCATACCGGCTGATCCGTGTCACTGACCCCTGAGTTCGTGAAAATGCATGCGATGTTATGTAGGATTGTTCTACTCTCAACAGGTAACGTCACGTCTATCGAGTAATCAACATACGGTATGGGGTCAGTGAGGCGGGTCACTCGATATTTATATAACTGTTTTTTCTTACATTTCATTTTTGTATCACAGTCATTTTTTATATGGATCCTAAAGGTTAATGTAAATAATGTTTATGTTTATCATCTATTTTTATATTGTTTTTTGTTCTCATTTGTCAATGTGTTTACTTCGCCAAGGCAAATTGTGTTTTCAGAATATAAACAGTTATGCATGTCAATCTTGTTTACACAACTTAAATATTGGTATATCCCGTGTATCTTCCTTAAAACCTATCTGTGTCATTCTCTGCTCTTACTCTACCAGGATGTATTTTCTACATATTCGTTTCCTTTTTGACAATGGATAAAACAACAAACTACCTTGGTGCTGTAACGGCAGGGAATGACTCACTACTTTATAAATGTTTATGTATCGTTAGTGTCTCTCTGAATCTATTCTCTCTGAATTTGCACTACATTTTTATTTTATTATTAATACTATCCATATGCGGTGATATTCACCCGAACCCCGGTCCACCCAACTCCCACATCCACCTAGATTTTATTTCTATTTGTCATATCAATATTTGTTCGTTAAGGAACAAAACTCATATTCTTGATGCTGAATTTTCCGAATACGATATACTGTGCGTCTCTGAAACTCATCTTGATAATTCAATTCCTGATAGTGCTGTATCTTTGAAAAACTTTGGTAATATTTTTAGAAAGGATAGAGATAATTATGGTGGCGGAGTTCTGATTTATACTAAACATAATATTAATATTAAACGTAGACCTGACCTTGAGACAGATGATCTTGAATTAATATGGACTGAAGTAACTACCCATAATAAACCTATTTTTCTTGGCTGTATATATAGACCCCCTAACTCTCTCGTTGGCTACTGGGACAGGCTAGATATTAACCTAAATAATATTATTGATCTGCAAAGGGAAGTAGTCCTGGTAGGTGATATAAATCAAGACATGTTACATCTAAATCCAAACTCACATCTACATAGAATTTTGTTGAAATATGGGTTAGAAAACACTGTTACTGAACCTACCAGGATTACTTCCCAGACCTCAACATCACTTGACACTATACTAACAAACAATGTTAACTTTATTAAAAATACAATAGTACATCCTCCCTCTTGTAGTGATCACTGTCCAGTAAGCGCTGATCTGAAATTTAAAACTTTAAAGAAACATGCATATAAAAAGACTTTATTATACTTCAATAACACTGACTTTGACGGGGCAAATGAGTATCTTAAGTCCATTGACTGGAATCTTTTATTACAAGGTGATATTGAAAATATGAACTCTCTCTTAACTGATAAAATCCTAACTGCTATCGACCTATTCGTGCCCCATAAAACAGTAACAATAAGACCTAATGATAAAATTTGGATGACTAATGGTATCAGACTCAAAATTAGACAAAGAAATCGCCAGCATTCCAAAGCTAAGCTACATAATACTCCATCTTCCTGGGCAAAATTTAGATCTATTCGGAATGAAGTTATATCCTTAGTCCGGGAAGCTAAAGAAAAATATTTATCTAAACTTCAATCTTCTTTAATTGATAAAACCATACCCCCCGGAAAATGGTGGCGTATTGCAAAATCGGTTATGAATCTCAAAAACAAAAACGAAAATGACTCTCCATTGATTATCAACGGCGAACTGAAAATCCACCCCATAGATAAGGCGGAATCTTTTAACGATTATTTCACTTCGATTTCCGTAACTGAAAAGAATGCTGACGATTTACCTCCTGATTGCCCCCGACCCCGACATAGCTTCTCAACAATAGACATAACCGAACAGGACATTCTTGATCAGCTCGATCTACTCAATACTAATAAACCTTCAGGCCCTGATAGTATCCCTCCAAAATTCATAAAAGGGGTTTCCCAATCTCTTGTGAAACCACTCTATCTCTTATTCAACAAATCTATTTCTACCGGAAAGCTACCAAATAGATGGAAAAATGCTCATGTTACCCCAATTTATAAGGGCAAGGGAGATAAAAGTGATCCATCCAACTATAGACCAATATCTGTTACCCCTATATTTAGCAAGCTATTTGAAAAAAATGTTTTTAAGTATATGTTCAATTACCTCTCAAGATATAACATTATTTCTAAGAATCAGTCAGGCTTTTTACCTAAGGATTCCACAGTGTATCAGCTATTAATTATATACGATGAAATTGTAAAACATTTAGACAAAGGCAAAGAGGCCAGAATGATTTTCTGTGATATTAGCAAAGCCTTTGACAGAGTTTGGCATGACGGTCTAATTTATAAACTAAAAAAATATGGTATATGTAATAATATGTTAGAATGGTTTACATCATACCTTCATGATAGGCAACAGAGAGTGGTCATAGATGGGTATAAGTCTAACTGGAAAACATTACAGGCAGGGGTACCCCAAGGTTCAGTCCTTGGTCCTTTTTTGTTTTTACTATATATTAATGATATTGGTGATGAATTGGCCTCAAACTTCAAACTATTTGCTGATGATACCTCCTTATATGGTCTCATTGAGGGAGACAGGCAAGAATGTGCTAATATATTAAATGATGATCTGAGGAAAATTTCAATCTGGGCTAGAACATGGGGAATTATCTTTAATCCAGATAAAACTGTAGCCCTGCTCTTCTCGAGGCGGGTTGACTCTGAGACACTGCATCCTAACCTATATTTTGATGAATCATCAATTATTAATGTTTCTAATCATAAACACCTAGGTTTGTTTTTCAACAGCAAGGCTAATTGGTCTAACCACATAAACTATATATACGAAAAAGCTTATAAAAGAATTAATATACTTAGAATGTTGAAATACAAAATTGATAGAAAATCACTCGAAACTATATATATCACATTTATACGTCCAATTCTGGAATATGCAAATATTATATGGGCAAACTGCACGCAGAATGAATGCAGTGTCTTGGAGTCTATCCAACTAGAAGCAGCACGTATTATCTTAGGGTTAAGACGTGGAACAAGTCATGCTATCTTATATAGAGAATCTGGTTTTATAACACTTAATAGAAGAAGACATTTGCATCAAAATATTACTTTTTATAAAATATATAATAGGAAATGTCCCTCTCATGTCTATGATATAATTCAACCGTACATTAATGATAATACTGACAATTATCATCTTCGCCACAATAGAATTTTTGATGTTCCTATACCAAGAACTCAGTTATATAATGCCAGTTTTTTCCCGAAACTGATGTCTGAATGGAATAATCCAACTTGCCTGTATCCCACAATGACATCCATTGGATCTATAAAAAGAGATTTTTTACACTCAGATGAAATGGATTCTCAACCCCAATGTACTGATATTTTTAAATACAATGGTGATCGAAAATTTAATATTACCTTATGTCAACTTAGAAACTGTGCCAGTAACCTGAATTCAGATCTATTTGAATCTCACCTAATTGATACCCCTGCCTGCTTATGTAGTTCTCCTGTTGAGGACTGTGATCACTTCTTCTTCCATTGTACTCTGTATACTAATCAAAGGCAAATTCTCCTGAACTCCATTTCTGCTTTTAATGACATTATTCCATTAAATACCCAGACTTTTCTTTATGGATGTCAAAGACTTGATATCAATATGAACATAAGTATCTTGGAGATGGTTAAGAGATTCGTTAAAGATACAAGACGCTTTAACTAGATTACACTTACTTGTTTATCTCATGACTTTGCTGTGTGGAATGATACCAGTACATACTTTTACTATGTGCTCTGTCCACCAGCATCATTTTAATTGCCATTTTTTTGTAAAATCTAGTTTTTGTACAACAATTATCAAAAAATTAATAATGACATGCAAATATCAATATTCATGTACATAATATAAATGTTTTATCATTACTTCAATTCAATATGATGTGTGCAAACTGTTTATAACTGTAAGGAGAGGGCGCTCATAGGCTTTGCCTGTTGCCCAATTCCTTTGTATCTAAGATCTGAACAATAAACATTCTGAAATGAAAAAAGACATAATTCAAAACCTTCTGCTTATCTAAAATGATTATAACATTCATTCAAGATATAATTTGTTTTCTTAAAATTTGAATAAAAAAAAAGCTAGCTGTGTGTTATATTTCGAAATATAAGCAATACACTGCTGAGGTGTTGCAGACCTACTGGTATAACTGCAACATGTGTCGCACACAAACTGAATGGTACGTGACACCGTTATACCAGTGTGTTTGCAATATCTTTGTAGTTTATTGTTCAGGAAGAGTTCCAATATTGACGTCTGCACTAAAGAATTTGCTCAATTAACAGCACCAGTGCACCCCATTATCCAAAATATGCACGTACTCCACACTCTCACATATTGAAGTGGAGCTAATGAAGATAGGTTTATATGTTTCAAAAATCTTCTCAAAAATTAGCAAAAAAGGCATTACAGCATCATATCTGCATTGAAAAGTATGTTGAATATTTGGAAGGTTGTAGGGTGATGTTTCAATCTGAATGACTCGGAGATTGTTTTTTAGAAAAACATTAATAGTAAATTACATTGGTATGACGTCTCTCCTGACGGTCACGTGACTCACTTGTACGTAAGCACTCAATCAAATAGTCATTAATTGCCTTTCGACATTAAACATGGCAATGCAGTTGGACAAAAACAGATACATCATAAGAGAACTCAAGAAAATGAACAGCAATAAGAGGCGAGCTATTTTTCGACAGATAACGTAGATGTAAAGGGAGAAACAATGCTTGCTTTACTTGATACATATCTCGTAGAAGTGAATTTAGTCGAGAGTATTTTGACCAAATAAGGAAGGAAAATTACATTTCTTTCTATGATATCGAAATATGTATTGATACCATCATTGAATTGTTACCGTGATATTGTGCATTACAGACGGACATTACACAGGGTATTCCAAGACTAAAGCGGATGTGCCCAAGCGTATGTTCATGCCGTAGCTCTATTTTTATCACGGTGTATTAGGGTGTAAGCCTACGTTCTTCACAAAGCTATACAATGAACCGTTTTAACACTTTAAACTCATCTGTACATCTGTAAGTTTCGGAGAGTAATTCTTTCCGCATTGAGTATTTTTATAGGTTAGTAGTGGTTGAACCTGTGTAATACCTATAATCAACTTTAAACTCTTATCCTATTATAAATTATATTGGGTTATGCTGTGGTTTTATACTCATTACAGGGCAGTGCCCTGTACCTTTGTAATACCTCTGATACATGTAGCAGTTAAAAGAACCACCTTTTGTTATTTCTGTCAATTCAAGTATTGTCAAAAGGCAGAAGACCAGTTTGTAATGTCAGGTATCACTTTATCTACTTTCAGCAAACATGCTGTTTTACAATTCCGTTAAGGCTAAGGGTTAAATTCTAAAATTGGGTTCCTTGTTCCTCTCCATATAAATTAATGATCGTCTTTTTTTGATACCGAAGTTCCAGGTTTACGAATCTCGTCTAACGGTAGTCATATATACCTACACTTGAGCATTTAAATGTGTTTGTTATTGAGATTTACATACTTGATGAAAAATACATATAAAAGTATATTGCATATTTGTTTGCTGGCTTGAAGAATGCAACCACTATAACAACACGGTCTTCACTATATAATGGCAGAAATGACGAATGCTGATCTTGTAAATTAGAATGAGTATGCCCTTATAGGACAGAGGAGTAGGGACAAAAATGAGAAATCGTGTTTATTTGACATAGATCTTCCTTTGCTAAAGTCGCAACATTTAATGAAATGGGAATTTGGCCCTTCTTGCGAATAAGTGCCGCGCCCAATAGGGAAATATTGCTGGATATTATATACGTTTCCTTATTTATTTCGACCTCATTCTGCATATGTAGCATCCCTATGCTCAACAAATTATTCACTGTAAAATGTCAAGGTCTCTACCCCTCCTAAAGGTGATGGAGGGGAAGAACTGGATTAAATAGTTGTATTTTTAAAAGACTACTTTACTCACGTTGACTTTTTTGACATTGAACTACGATGGAAGAAGGGGTCTTAATATTCTAGGCATGCCCTTAGGAATCAGCGGACTCCTTATGTGTATTAGATATGGGTCAAAGAAGTAATATAGACGGTAAAATCCCATATAATCCCATATATCCGAGATCCTCCGGCCGCCACTACTGTCCGGAGGATCTCGTCACGGTATATGATATGTATATATATATATATATATATAAAATATTTATTTCTATAAGTTTAATTACTTACCAGAATTTACTCGACTAAGGAACAGTCCATGATTGGATGGGGAATATGAAAAGAGTCATTAATACATCATGTTTCATCCAGGCTGTGTAGTTGTTGACTGTCCTTTCCATCACTGTAGACAATATCAGAATGTGTTTTTTTTGTACTGTGAGCTGTGAACTCACCACATAATTACTAGAGTATGAGAATGAAAACATACTTGTCTGTCTTTCATTCCCAGTGTAACATAACCAGGCATTAGTTCTGTACACACTGGCTCTCATCTGGCCAGTCCGTTAACAGTAGCTACTATATATATGTGTTCAGAAACGGAAATGACATCAACATTACTTATATATCCAGGTTGGAATCCCTACCTTAATTAGTTATATGCAATACATTTAAAAAGTGCGTCACATTCGGGTATTCCCATTGTGAGTGGAGGTCTCTGAGCGTCTGTTCATGACGTGGATCTATTTCTGTCATGGTGTATTTTGTATTTGTTTAGTAGGAGCCTTTGCATTGCGGTTAATAGCCGTGTCAGCTTTCATGCGTTTGTTCGTGACGTGGATACATATCATATATATCTGATTTAATTGTAGTGTGTATTGGGTAGTACTGTGGTCCGTTACTCATTACAATGTTGTGTCCCGTACCTTTGTTCCTTTGTTATACCTTTAACATACGTAGTTATCTATATATTGTAGCACAACGTGGTTTCTGTTAAGGGAGTGCTCAGTCATGCAGAACACCAGAAAAAGATAAATGCCACCTGAGATCCGTTGAGTATGCGTGCTTTTGTTACAGGTTTGGAGAAGGCAGAGTGTCGTGTATTATAATCTGGACGTATTACGCACTTTATATAAAGTAGTTCTCCGTCGTTCTTTACTGATTACGAAGTTTAAGGACACGTATTGTCTAACTTCGCCTTGTTGTGACGTTGCATGTCTGGGATTATAAATAAAAATATATTTCGAAAAAAAAAAAAATTTGGGGAAGAAATCGAAACAAAAAGAAAATAACTGAATTCGTACCATGGCTATATCGCTGATGTTAATTTTAGGATGAATAAATATATATCTTGGATAAGAAATAAATACTGGGAAATGTATTTTAACTTAATTTAATTTATTTGTCATGAACATTAATATGTGCTGTTCAGCGCTTTTTTCAAAAAAGAGACGGTCACTCGACTTGTTCAATCAAACATTAGCATCACCTCGAGTATGGAAATTTCTCAGGTTTAACATTGATGACACATGCAGTGTAGTATTAGAACAGTACTGACAATTGATAATGTGAATTATTTGTTAATGAACATTGTTTTTGAAACAAGACGCAAATCTCGCTTTGTCCGTGATGTTGACGCCATATTTTGAAAACGTGAATCCCAAATGTACAGCTACTAGTGTAGGAGTTTAAATCGATTTATTGATCACACGACATAATACAATCAATTTTAAATGAAGGCATTTGAGAATTCCCACTTCTGGCACATTAGGTTTATCAGACGCTGACGAATTCGCTCCTATACCCATATTACTCTTATATGGTATATGACCATTCTGTGTAGTCGCTTGCCTTGTTGTCAATTGTACCAGGTTACTGATACTGAAAATTGGTCGGTTTAAAAAGTATAGATTAAAACATATTTATAAACGGCAACATTAGTTATTTAATTCACATTGTGCAATAAACGTCCTTATACTAAAATATTTTGGAAGATTGATATTATCTGTTACTAGAGTAGATCTATGTCACTCATTTTGTCTCAGAATTATACTTAAACATAACAATGAATAAAGTATTATCTGCTTAATAACATTCCGAACACGACAGAGCAGGTTAAATATAAACACCAATGTCTTTGGTCCAGTTAGCGATATGATAAAGAAAACATGATAGTTTTCCGTCTTTCATTCCCTGTGTAACATACGCAGGCTATAGTTATATACATACTGGCTCTCGTCTGGCCAGTCCATTGACAGTAGCTGCTATATATATGTGTTCATAAACGGAAATAACATCAACATTACTTATATATCCAGGTGGGAATCCCTACCATAATTTGTTATATGCAATACATTTAAAAGGGGCGTCACATTTTGGTATTTACAGTGTTAGTGGAGGTCTCTGGCGTGGATCTATTTCTGTCATGGTGTATTGTGTATTTGTTCTTAGAAGCCTACCCTTACCATAATGCTATGCATTGAACCTTTGCTATACGGTTAATAGCCGTGTTTATATCGGATCTTATTGTAGCTTGTATTGGGTAGTACTGTGCAATGGTGTGTTTCGTACCTGTGTTCATTTGTTATAATTTTAATTCATGTAATTTTCTATATTAGCACAGCGGGATTTCTGTTTAGGGTGTGCTCATTCATGCAGAACACAAGAAAAAGATAAATGCCACCTGAGATACGTTTATTAAGCGTGCTTTTGTTACAAATGTTGTGAACTATAACTGGGACCTATTACAAACTTTATATGGATTATCTATCTGTTGTTCTTTACTGATTACGAAGTTTAAGGCCACGTCTTGTCTAACTTCGCCTTGTTGTGATGTTGCATATATGGGATTATGAATAAAAATCTATTTCGACAAAAACAATTTACGGTAGAACTCAAAACAAAATGATACTCATATTGGCGACACAAAGTGGAGTGAAAGTAACAGAAACAAATCGTATCATGGATATATTGCTGATGTTGATTTTAGGAAGAATAAATATATCGCTTGGATACGAAATAAATACTAGGAAATATATTTGTATATTGTTTTATTTGTTTATCATGAGAATTAATATTTGTTGTTTGCCGTCTTTTCAAATGGGACGTTCACCCGACATATTCATTAAAGCATGAGCATCAGCAATACTGCATACCTAGATTGTTGAAAATTCTAAGGTTCAACATTGATGACACATGAAATGTAAAATTAGAACAGCATGGACAATTGTTCATGTGCAATATTTGTTAATGAGAACTGTCTTTGACAAGACGCACATCTCGCGTTGTCCGGGATGTTGACGCCATGTTTTGAAACCATGAAGCTAGTACTGCAAAAATTCAAATAAATTTTTCTGATCAGACGACATAATAAATTAGAACATAATTTATTTATTTTTATTCAAAAAATGCATTTTAGAATTTGCACATTTAGCACATTCGGTTCATCAGACGCTGACGAATTCGATCCTGGACCCAGCTCAATCTGATATGGTAGATGACCATTCTGTGTAGTCTAATCGCTTGCCGTGTTGTCCATTGTACCAGATTAATGATACTGAAATAAAATTGATTGGATTAATATATATAGATTCAAACATATATAGTCGAGAAAATACCTAAATAAAAAACAACATTTTAATGATTGAAATTAATTTGTAGAATAAATGTCTTTAGGATCAAATATTTTTGAAGAGCAATACTATCTGTTACTGGTGTTATTATAAAACAACCTTTGACCTTTGATAATGTACAGATGGATATCTGCGTTAATTTGTGAAGTAAGTTCAAGACGCCGATACACGACTGACATGGTATATTGATGTAAAAGTGTCAGTTAGCTTCGCTGGTTTACAATTGAAATACTTAACTTACTTGGTACACTTCTACAGTTCCGTCATTAAAACCAATCCACATCTTGTCGTCATTTAAGGTCAGAGAAGCCGGTATAAATTCCTGTGTCGAAATAATTGTCAACATGGGGCGACAGTCCTTGGTTAGCATCTGGACACGTCTACTGTAGTTCTCACAGATAATGATATTATCAAATGAGTCGAAGATGAAATCGGTGATGGCGTAATTTGTGTCCGGTTTGTAAGTAGTGGTATCAAACTTCTCACCAAACACCACCCTTCCGTGACCTAAGTAGCGTGACCGGAACGTGAGGTTTGTGTTCAGTAGAACCAAATGATTGTTTTCAGGGTCGGTACTATTTTTCACGCCTACAATATTCCCCGTATTACTGATTCTTACTCTACGCGGTATGACAAACAGGATTTCACCCCGGCTGTCGAGACAAACCCGTCTCATCTCTTGTCCCTTTGTGGAGTACTTGACTAGTACTCTCTCACTGGCGGTGGTAACAGTGTAATCCTCGGTTTCCACAAGTGTTACAAAAAAGTCAAAAAAGTGCTGTACAAATGGCATACGGGTACAAGTTACCCGTTGAGAATTCTGCGGTGGTTTCTCCACTAGGCATTTCAACTCTCTTGATAACCCTGTCCTCTACACCACAGACAATGAGTGAATCTGTTCCGGAAACGCTCTGTCCGGTCATTCCTCGAATCTTAGTGTCAAAGGATACAGTTTTCTCCACATGACCGTGTCTGTCGGTCAACTCGAGTTTATTCTCCTGCATCAATCTAAACCAGGTCGATTTATTTGACCAGGGATACATTTCAGCAACAAAGTTATATGAAGAATGTTGGAATGTAGTTTCAAAAACGATTTTCCTTCCATGACGTATGAGGGTCCCCTCGAAATCTGAACCTTTCGCTGTTGAAATGTAGAAATCTGTCGCAGCCTGGTCTCCTTGTTGTGAAAACAGTGTCTCTATGTCAGTAGCGTGTCCTCCAAACATCTGTTGAAGATGATTCGCATTCACTTTCCCATGTGTAAACTCTATGGAGACAGGTTCATGATATGGCGTTCTGTGTCTGACCACATCTTCCAGTTTCACTGAACTCTGGAGTGCAGTAAGGTCATCTTTGTCGTCGAGTATCTTGTTTAGATTGTAATTGTGTCGCTTCACGTTTTCTATTGTCGATAAAATATCACACATTGCCTTTTCAACTCTATCACAAGTATTCTTGATGTTAGTGACGTACTTTGCAATCAGTTTGTCTGCTATTTCGTCCACAGCCTGGTGTAAGGTTTGCCTCTATTTGTTGATTTTGTTAATATTCTTTCTGCCCTGACCTTCATGTTTCAGTTTCGCTGCCGTGACGTCTTTAATGTCTGACTGAAGTTTAGTTATGAATTTCTCGTTTTGCACTTTCTGTGTCTGAAGTTTCGATTTGATGTTCTTTGCTGCTTCGTCTGGCTTGACGAACATGTGACTAGTATGATATCCGGTCATACAGTCCAAACATACTAAAGATATGCCACACGTTACACAAACAGAAACGACTGGAGTACCCGGATGTTTTACACACTCCATAGTTGGTATATTTCTACAAGGTTTACCTTCACTTAGGTTTACCTCAACATATCACAGAGTGAGGAGGAATTGTTCGACAATTCTGTCCGAGTCAACGTATATATTGTTATTCGTACTGTTTC